CCCAATACAAGATTCAGGTTCTTACCTATAAAGCCCTAAACGGTTTGGGACCTGCCTACCTTCGTGACCATATCTCTCTCCATGAACCAGCCCGTACCCTTCGATCTTCGAGCAAAGCCTTCCTTTTGCCCTTGCCAGTCTCTCAGACTCGCCTTGTGGGTACAAGGGAGAGAGCCTTCTCCTCTGTGGCCCCCTGACTCTGGAATTCACTGCCCAGAGAGATTAGGAAAGCCCCTACTTTGGAAACTTTTAAAAAGAGTCTTAAGACCTGGCTCTGCAATCGTGCTTTAGAAGAGTAGCCACATAATTTTATGCTAGTGCTCCTCCAATGTTCTTGTCCCAGGAGTCCCCCTCACACACACACAAAGGCTATGTGGCAAAGAAAAGTCTATGAGTTGTTGTAGGTTTTCGGGCTATATGGCCATGGCCTAGAGGCATTCTCTCCTGACGTTTCGCCTGCATCTATGGCAAGCATCCTCAGAGGTAGTGAGGTCTGTTGGAACTAGGAAAAAGGGTTTATATATCTGTGGAATGATCAGGGTGGGACAAAGGACTCTTGTCTGCTGGAGCTAGGTGTGAATGTTTCAACTGACCACCTTGATTAGCATACAATAGGCTGACTGTGCCCGGAGCAAACTTTTGTTGAGAGGTAATTAGACCAAGAACAAGCCACGAGAATAAAGACGAAGCTCCACCCAGAGGAAAAGTGTTCTTGCCATACATCAAGGGAACCACTGACCGCATAGGGAAGCTGATGAGGAAACACAACATACAAACAATCTACAAACCCACCAAGAAAATCCAACAAATGCTTCGTTCAGCAAAGGACAAGAGGGATCCTCTCACCTCTGCAGGAGTCTACCGTGTACCATGCAGCTGTGGACAAGTCTACATAGGGACCACCAAACGCAGCATTGCCCAAACACGAATCAAGGAACATGAAAGGCACTGCAGACTACTTCAACCAGAGAAGTCAGCCATAGCAGAGCACCTGATGAACCAACCTGGACACAGCATATTATTTGAGAACACAGAAATGCTGGACCACTCTCACAACCACCTTGTCAGACTACACAGAGAAGCCATTGAAATCCACAAGCATGTGGACAATTTCAACAGAAAGGAGAAAACCATGAAAATGAAAAAAATCTGGCTACCAGCATTCAAAAACTCTAAAATTGCAACAGCACAACAACAGAGAGGAAGCAGGCAGGGACATCTAATCACCTCTCAAAAATAGATTGCTCCAGGCACTGCCAGGCCATCAAATGCTAATCAAGGTGGTCAGTTGAAACATTCACACCTAGTTCCAACAGACAAGAGTCCTTTGGGTTGTTGTAGGTTTTTTTTGGGCTATATGGCCATGGTCTAGAGGCATTCTCTCCTGACGTTTTGCCTGCATCTGTGGCAAGCATCCTCAGAGGTAGTGAGGTCTGTTGGAACTAGGAAAAAGGGTTTATATATCTGTGGAATGACCAGGGTGGGACAAAGGACTCTTGCCTGCTGGAGCTAGGTGTGAATGTTTCAACTGCATAGATCTGGTGAGCCTGTGGTGTTTTGAAAGTCCTTTTGGCTGCGAGAAATTGTAAGATGGTATCTGTGTCTCTGCAGCGTAGAAGGAAAGTCAATAAGCACAGTAAATGTGCTTTCCTGGTCCTTAGTTTTTCCAATTTTCGTGTGTCTTGGAAGTTTCTCCCCATAGAGAAGTTCAATGTATTGTCGAAGGCTTTCATGGCTGGAATCACTGGGCTGTTGTAGGTTTTTTTGGGCTATATAGCCATGGTCTAGAGCAGGGGTCCACAAACTTTTTAAACAGAGGGCCAGGTCACAGTTCCTCAAATTGTTGGAGGGCCGGATTATAATTTGAAAAAAAACATGAATTCCTATGCACGCTGCACATATCTTATTTGTAGTGTAAAATCCACTTAAAAACAATACAATAATTAAAATGAGGAACAATGTTAAAAATATAAACTTATTAGTATTTCAATAGGAAATGTGGGCCTGCTTTTGGCTGATGAGATAGGATTCTTGTTGTTATGTGCTTTCAAGTAGTTTCAGACTTAGGTTGACCCTGAGCGAGGGCCAGGTAAATGACCTTGGAGGGCCGCATCCGGCCCCCAGGCCTTAGTTTGAGGACCCCTGGTCTAGAGGTATTCTCTCCTGATGTTTTGCCTGCATCATAAAATAATAATAATTATCTATGGCAAGCATCCTCAAAGGTAGTGAGGTCTGTTGGAACTAGGAAAAAGGGTTTATATATCTGTGGAATGACCAGGGTGGGACAAAGGACTCTTGTGTGCTGGAGCAAGGTGTGAATGTTTCAACTTTGTCCCACCCTGGTCATTCCACAGATATATAAACCCATTTTCTTAGTTCCAATAGACCTCAGTACCTCTGAGGATGCTTGCCATAGATGCAGGCGAAACGTCAGGAGAGAATGCCTCTAGACCAGTGCTTCTCAACCTTGGGTCCCCAGATGTTTTTGGCCTACAACTCCCAGAAATCCCAGCCAGTTTACCAGCTGTTTCTGGGAATTGCAGGCCAAAAACATCTGGGGACCCCAGGTTGAGAACCACTGCTCTAGACCATGGCCATATAGCCCGAAAAAACCTACAACAACCCAAAGAACTCTTGTCTGTTGGAGCTAGGTGTGAATGTTCCAACTGACCACCTTGATTAGCATTTGATGGCCTGTCAGTGCCCGGGGCAATCTTTTGTTGAGAAGGATTAGATGTGCCTGATTGTTTCCCCTCTGTTGTTTTGCTGTTGTAATTTTAGAGTTTTTAATACTAATAGCCAGATTTTGTTATTTATTTATCGTGTCATCAGCAACCATACCATTGTATTACATTTCTAACAGAACAAAACAAACAAACATAAAAAAACACAAATTTTGCAAACTTGGTAGTTGATTAAATGTCTTTTGACCAGTATCTGGCCACTTCAAGTGCCTCTGGTGTTACTATAAGAAGGTCCTCCGTTGTGCATGTAGCAGGGCTCAGGCTGCATTGCAGCAGGTGGTCAGTGGTTTGCTCTTCTCCGCACTTGCATGTCATGGATTCCACTTTGTAGCCCCATTTCTGAAGGTTGGCTCTGCATCTCGTGGTGCCAGAGTGTAGTCTGTTCAGCGCCTTCCAAGTCGCCCAGTCTTCTGTGTGCCCAGGGGGGAGTCTCTCATTTGGTATCCCCAGGGCCGTAGCCAGAAAAAAATTTCGGGAGGGTTTGAAAATTTGGGGGGGGGGGTTTGAAACCTGCCTCCTAGCTCATGCTGAAGCAAAGAGCACAGCAGGGGGCAGAGCAGCCTTCAATAGCCTGCAGCTCCGCCCCTGTCAACCACCTCCACCAAGTCTGGCCTCCTTAATGAGAGCATTCAACACCCCCCCCCCCCAACTTGGTTGCTTCGCTACATCGGCTATTGCTGCAAGTAATGACAATATAATGTAATGCATGTAATGAGAGCTGGACCTTAGGGAAGGCTGAGTGAAGGAAGATAGAAGCTTTTGAACTGTGGTGTTGGAGGAAAGTTCTGAGAGTGCCTTGGACTGCGAGAAGATCCAACCAGTCCATCCTCCAGGAAATAAAGCCCGGCTGCTCATTGGAGGGAAGGATAGTAGAGGAAAAGATGAAGTACTTTGGCCACATCATGAGAAGAAAGGAAAGCTTAGAGAAGACAATGATGCTGGGGAAAATGGAAGGAAAAAGGAAGAGGGGCCGACCAAGGGCAAGATGGATGGATGGCATCCTTGAAGTGACTGGACTGACCTTGAAGGAGCTGGGGGTGGTGACGGCCGACAGGGAGCTCTGGCGTGGGCTGGTCCATGAGGTCACGAAGAGTCGGAGACGACTGAACGAATGAACAACAACACAACTCCCAAATGACAAAATCATAATTTTTTGAGTGATGGTCACTCCTTGTGTTGTGAGACATATTGTTGCCAAATTTGGTGTGATTTCGTTCATTGGTTCTTTTGTTTTTAAGGAACTCATTATGCACAGAGCATATATATATATATATATATATATATATATATATATATATATATATCGGAGCCCCCGGTGGCGCAGTGGGTTAAAGCACTGAGCTGCTGAGCTTGTTGATCGAAAGGTCGCAGGTTCGATTCCGGGGAGCGGCGTGAGCTTCTGCTGTCAGCCCTAGTTTCTGCCAGCCTAGCAGTTCGAAAACATGCAAATGTGAGTAGATCAATAGGTACCGCTCTGGCGGGAAGGTAAGGCGCTCCATGCAGTCATGCTGGCCACATGACCTTGGAGGTGTCTACGGACAACGCTGGCTCTTCGGCTTAGAAATGGAGATGAGCACCACACCCCAGAGTCAGACATGACTGGACTTAATGTCAGGGGACTACCTTTACCTTTACCTATATATACATATATAATTATTATTATTTTCTTCTTGGTTTCCCTTTGAGGAAAAGGCAGAGAGGGACCACTTGCTTTCCTCTCACAGACAGGGCGCGCGCCCGAGCTCGAGGTGTTGTTTTGTACTTTGCGCGCGACACCTGGAAAGACACAGCTTGTGAGCGCGCGCAGGGCTCCCCTGCTGCCTGTCCCTGGGAGGATCCTCGCGAGCAGAGAAGCCCCGCCCCCTCTCAGGCGGAGAAAGAGTGTCCCGCGCCCCCCTCCCTCAATTGGCCACTCTTCAAGCCTCGTCGCCCCCTCCCCCTCGCTCCCCGTAGTTGACCCTGCCCCCCTGGCTCCGGAGGGGCCAATCAGCGTGCGGGGGGACTGGCGCTGGGCAGCCCTTAAAGGGGCCCGCCGCCAGCCTTGCGCCCCCAGAGCCAGGCATGGGCCAGGTCCCCTCGCAGTGAGCAAGCAGGCCCCCTCTCTGTCTCTCTCTCTCTGCGGCGCTAAGGTAAGGAATAGAGTGTGGCTCCTGGGAGGGAGGAGGAGGAGGAAGGGGGGAGCCTATGGGAAACTGAGGCGCGGGCACGAGGCACCTCCGGAATTGGCTCGAGGCAGGCTCGCGACGTTTTCGCCCATGTCTGCGACGATGCTGTTCACACGGGTCTCGGGAGGCGGGTGGAAAGGGCTCGGCTTGGCTTCTTCCACCAAAGTCGCTTTCAGTTGTGGGGCTGCCTATAGGGCGAGAAGAAGGGGCTCCGAGCTTGGCAACAACCCCCGTCTCCTCCTTCCCGCTCCTTCTCTCAAGGTATGCAAAGGGCTGGCTTAATGGGGGGGGGGGGGAGGTTCAATGCCAACAGCTCTGGCTTTCCTTCCAACTGGGTGGCTCTCTCCCCCTATGTTTTGTATGCCTTAACTCTTTCATCCTTGCCATCTCATGTTTACTACTCATGTAGACCCATCTGATGCTGTTTTGGCCCCTTCCACACAGCCGTACAAAACCCACATTGAGCTGGATTATATAGCAGTGTGGATTCGGATAATCCCACACTGAACTGGATTAGAATCATAGAATCAAAGAGTTGGAAGAGACCTCATGGGCCATCCAGTTCAACCCCCTGCCAAGAAGCAGGAATATTGCATTCAAAACATCCCTGACAGATGGCCATCCAGCCTCTGTTTAAAAGCTTCCAAAGAAGGAGCCTCCACCACACTCCGGGGCAGAGAGTTCCACTGCTGAACGGCTCTCACAGTCAGGAAGTTCTTCCTCATGTTCAGATGGAATCTCCTCTCTTGTAGTTTGAAGCCATTGGTCCGCATCCTAGTCTCCAAGGAAGCAGAAAGTAAGCTTTCTCCCTCCTCCCTGTGGCTTCCTCTCACATATTTATACATGGCTATCATATCTCCTCTCAGCCTTCTCTTCTTCAGGCTAAACATGCCCAGCTCCTTAAGCCGCTCCTCATAGGGCTTGTTCTCCAGACCTTTTATCATTTTAGTCGCTCTCCTCTGGACACATTCCAGCTTGTCAATAACTCTCTTGAATTGTGGTGCCCAGAATTGGACACAGTATTCCAGGTGTGGTCTAACCAAAGCAGAATAGAGGGGCAGAGAGTTCCACTGCTGAACTGGATTATATGGGAGTGTGGACTCGGATGATCCAGGACCCATCAACACAAGCATATAAACATATAAAGACAGATAACCCACAATATTTGCATTGAACTGCATTACCTGAGTCCACACTGCCATGTAATCCAGTTCAACTGTGTGGAAGGGGCCATAGACCCTCTTTTCAGGGCTGTCCAGTGGATTTGGGCTTCGTTTTTGTTTTTGTTGTGTCAGGAGCGACTTGAGAAACTGCAAGTCGCTTCTGGTGTGAGAGAATTGGCCGTCTGCAAGGATGTTGCCCAGGTGACGCCCGGATGATTTGATGTATTATCATCCTTGTGGGATATAGGAGCCCCTGGTGGCGCAGTGGGTTAAACCCCTGTGCCGGCAGGACTGAAGACTGACAGGTCACAGGTTCAAATCCGTGGAGAGGCGGATGAGCTTCCTCTATCAGCTCCAGCTCCTCATACGGGGACATGAGAGAAGCTTCCCTGACAGGAAGGTAACAGTGCTCCATGCAGTCATGCCGGCCACATTACCTTGGAGGTGTCTATGGACAATGCCTGCTCCGGCTTAGTAATGGAGATGAGCACCACCCCCCAGAGTCAGACACGACAGACACTGCAGTACATTTCTTCTTTTAATAGGTATAGTAAAGTAAAGGTTTCCCCTTGACATAAGTCTAGTCGCTATGTCAAAGGGAAACCTTTACTTTACTATACCTATTAAAAGAAGAAATGTACTGCAGTGCCCTAATAAAGTTAAGTCAACTTAGAGCAATGGGCGAAATTCTTCCATGGTCTCATCTACTGATACAGAATTAAATTTCTTAATTCTGCCAACCTAGCAGTTTGAAAACATGCAAATGTGAGTAGATCAATAGGTACTGTTCTGGCGGGAAAGTAATGGTGCTCCATGCACATGACCTAGGAGGTGTCTACGGACAACGCCAGCTCTTTGGCTTAGAAATGGAGATGAGTACCAACCCCCAGAGCCTGACACGACTGGACTTAATGTCAGGGGGAAACATTTACCGTACTTTTACTTTAATTTTTAAAAGGCATTCCTTTGTATTGTATCATATTAGTAGAATAATAATTGAATTGTCGAAGGCTTTCATGGCTGGAATCACTGGGTTGTTGTAGGTTTTTCGGGCTATATGACCATTCTCTAGAAGCATTCTCTCCTGACATTTCGCCTGCACCTATGCAGAGGTTGTGAGGTCAGACCATAGATGCAAGCGAAACGTCAGGAGAGAATGCTTCTAGAACATGGCCATATAGCCCGAAAAACCTACAACAACCCAATCTTTGTATTGGATCCCATTCATGTTGCATGCCAGGCATATTACTTTGAAGTTGTTAAGGGTGCAGTGAACATGTATGATGTGGTGGTGATAAGTGAACAGCTTTCACAAACCTGGTTTTATGGGAAATAGCACATTAAAATGTATCCCATTAAATTAAAATGTATCCCATTAAAAAGTATCCAAGATTGCAGGCATCTTGGATTAAAAAGTAGAGCTATCTTGCATGTGATAAATAATGCCTGTCTGTGTATTAGTCAGCAAGTAGTCAGGATTTCCTTCTTTAGGAAGAAGTAGCAGTGATTGGATCTACACTGCCCTGTATCCCAGGATCTGATCCTAGATTATCTGCTTTGAACTGGATTATATGAGTCTACATTGCCAGATAGTCTGGGATCAGATCCTGGGATATGGGAGCAGTGAGGATATAGTGATATAATGAGGTCCCCTTCCACACAATCATATAACCCAGAATATCAAGGCAGAAAATCCCACAATATCTGCTTTGAACTGGGTTATCCGAGTCCACACTGCCATATACTCCAGTTCAAAGGAGATAATGTGGGATTTTATACAGCTGTGTAGAAGGGGGCTCAGTGGTAACTTGCAGTCCACCCTTCAGTTGGTGTGTTTAAAGGAAAAGGAATAATCCAGACTGTGAGGAAAGGGATTTGGATTATTAGACTCACTGGTAGAGAGCAAAGTTGGCAACATTCATTCTCAGTGTGATGTCTCCAAAGATATTAACTGTCTTAATCCCTCAGAATTAAAAGTTTAGAAAATGAAATCCATTTATCAAAGATGGGGACAAACGTCAACTGTTGGTTTTCTGATATAGAAATCTGTTATTAAAAATAGAAGGGTAGATCTGTAGTAATATTGATTTACTTTACTTGTATACCACCTGTCTCAGTCTATCGGTGACTCAAGGCGGTTAAAGGAAACAGAAAATAAGTGAAAATCAACAGGCAGTAAGTGTGACACTTGTAAAGTAGTTATTTTTGGTATGTTTAGTATGTGTTCGTTTAGAGGTAGTTTTAAGATGATCGTTTTAGAGGTAGTTTTGTTAGTTGTAGAAAAAGTTGTGTTTTAGTCTATCTTCAGTATTATAACCATTAGTAAAGATCTGTGTTTTTAATGTGAATTTAATAATTCAGTTATTGAATTATGTCAGTAGAACAGCATGCATATGTGTCCGCTATACTTGATTTTTTTTCTGTCTCACAAAACACTGAGTATAATTGGAAAGCCTTGTTCAGTTTTGCATGTTATCTCTGCAATAACAACTTGGGTGCCACTTTGCATTACTGGACAGAGAAGCCAAAATCAATCAGTTCTCCTGTGACTATATCCGTATGATAAAATATGCTGGTTATATTCCAGTTTTTACATTTGAAGTGTGACGATTGAAATGTGGCACTTTAGGAATGTGCAGAGTTTTTCTTCCATAGAATCAAAGAGTTGGAAGAGACCTCATGGGCCATCCAGTCCAACCCCCTGCCAAGAAGCAGGAATATTGCATTCAAATCACCCCTGACAGATGGCCATGCAGCCTCTGTTTAAAAGCTTCCAAAGAAGGAGCCTCCACCACACTCCAGGGCAGAGAGTTCCACTGCTGAACGGCTCTCACAGTCAGGAAGTTCTTCCCCATGAAAACTTACTACAGCAGTTGTAAACATTTGTGAAGACCGTAATGCTCCAGCCAGTAAAAGCTCATGCCATCATAAATGTTTTTGGGTGCTGTAAAACTCTTTATAAAGGACACATTACGGGAAATTATGGAAAGAAGGAAAAGGAATTAATCGGTACATTATCTGATGCAGTTCCAGGAAGCGTTTAAAGTGGTGTCAAACATTGTTATGCCCGAAACACACTCAGCAGGCTGTTAATACACAAATCAGGATTTATAAATGTGTATATTTGGGGCACCTTTAAGTTTTCAGTGTTTCAAGATGAATTCTTCTTGAGTGATTTCCAACCATAAGTCCTACAGGTTTCAGGAGTTCAACTCTTAGAAGTCCTTGGCCAACTGTCAAGATTTCTGGAAGCTGAAGTACAAATCAGCTGGGAGGCCAAAGGTTGGGAGCCACTGTTCAAGGTTGCAGAGAGCTTTAAAGAAAGCTTTTCATAAGCTATTTATTGTGAAAGCCATCCACTACATGGCTACCAGCCTCCTCCCAGTAGACTCAAATCAAGGAAAAGCTTTATGAGATCTACCACTCCTCTTGGCATCTCCCCAGCAACAGCAAGGGTATCCCTCTGGGCAGCTAGACCAGGAAATCCCAACTGGATGCCTCCCCCCCCCCCCACGAGGGCCTTCCTCCAGGGGTAAACCTCCCCCCACCCACGAGAGTCTTCCTCCAGGGGTAAACCAAGAATGGGCAACTTGGAAGTCCAGGAACAGACTTTCAAGTTGGAGTGGACAGATCAAAAGACAACCTGGCAAAATGGCACTACCTAAAAGAATTCCACACCTTGTGTGACTGGAGCAGAACAGACGGCTCTGCATCTGTATGCTTGCCCATTGTGCCCTGCCTCATGTACAGAGGAAAAATTGTTGGAGGCTACAGACAATGCTATTGCTGTTGCCCATTTTTGGTCAAAAGGATATTTAGCCACCTGTGCTATTTTATCAGTTTTATACTAATTTATGCAATGCTTTTCATAGAATCATAGAATCAAAGAGTTGGAAGAGACCTCATGGGCCATCCAGTCCAACCCCCTGCCAAGAAGCAGGAATATCATTCAAAGCACCCCTGACAGATGGCCATCCAGCCTCTGTTTAAAAGCTTCCAAAGAAGGAGCCTCCACCACACTCCGGGGCAGAGAATTCCACTGCTGAACGGCTCTCACAGTCAGGAAGTTCTTCCTCATGTTCAGATGGAATCTCCTTT